CCCCCCCCCCGCACACCAGTCGTAGTCCGGGTACTTTTTGTCCAACATCGGGTCTTCCGCGCACCCGTCCTCCTCGGCCTCACGGGTGTGCAGGCCGAGAACGGGGACACCAACAGGTGCCAACACGGCTACTCCCCGGGGGATCCAGCGGTGGCGACGAGGGCCCCCCAAAGGCCCCAAAAAGAGGAAAACGAGGGAAGGGTACTGTGAGGCAACTACTGGGAGGTTTGTCGGAAGGATTAACAGGACTAAACCCCATTGGGGGGTTGTTACGCCGGAGAGGGCCTCGGATTAAGCTGGATTAAGCGGGATTAAACCGGAGTAAGCGGGATTCAGCGGGATTAAGCCAGATTTCGGACCAGGGCGAAATCAGAATTTGACCTCCCAGGAGTTGCCTCCGAAGGTATCGGTACCTTGTCCTTCTCTGAGCGAGGAGAGAGGAAGGGCTGGGAAGCCAAGACACAATACCAAACGGCCAATTGTCGCGGCGCGGGAGCTCGCGCTCCGCACGGGCAGGCCCAAAACGGGCTGCGGGCTGGCAGAAATGCGCACCGCGACGGAAGGAAGGGCGAGAGGAAGTCGGCCGTGGAGAGGGCGCTGGAACTAGGTCGGGCCCGTCCCTTTACAGGAGGAATATTCGAAAATCGTCCAAAAATAGTCTGGGGACGAATTTTGATTATTTTTTGTGACCATTTGGGGGTATTTGTTTTGACTATTTTCATGTTCGTCCAAAATCTCCCTCTAGGAGGACAGGCCCGGCTTAACACTGGAACTTGGAAGGACGCTCAGGTCATCAGATCAGGAACCAACGACGTGCCGCCGCGGGGAACCCATCAGCGCGCTGCAGCCCACCTGCAAAATCAAGGACGCACGACAAAAGGATGCAGGGGCCTTGGAGGACCATGTCGACACTCTGCGACATCATGCCTCCGCGTATCTGCGCGTGGCAGATAAGCGGGAGGCTCGGGTATGCCAAAAACGAGGTAGGACTGCTCGAAGTTGGGCGTGCCTGATCCAAGATCCACTTGGATAAGCTGGTCGCGCACCTCAGCCAGAGCGGGGCGCGGCCAGCGAAAGCGGCCAAGGACGGGCCAGAGGGGAAGGATGCGAGGGTAAGCTTCGGAAGCTGCTCCTAACCAAGGGAGCAGCACGCGCACGAACTCCCCACGGCGGCGCGCCGCCGGTGTTCTCTCGTTCACTTCCCGAGGGGCCTCGTGCAGCTGCCCGACGCTGCCGGGGAGGGAAGCGGAAAGATGGAAGAGGGATGGGCCGGGGCGGGCCGCATGCGAACCCTACCCCTACCCCCCACGATTTCCGAGGGGGAGGGTGGGGCTCACTTCGTTCGGGAGCTCCCGAGGAGCTCCCGAGGAGCTCCCGAGCGAAGTGAACCCAACCCCCCCCCCCTCGGAAATCGTGGGGGGTAGGGGTAGGGTTCGCATGTGGCCCCCTAATGAAGAGGGATGGACAGGGGGGGAGTTGGAAGGGGAAAGGGGAAAGGGTGAGAGGGAGGGGGAGGGAAGGGGGAAGGGATCTGGGGAGGACAGCGGGGGGGAAGATGTGAAGAGGAAGGCGAAGGGGGGGAAGGGGGGTGCACCTTCGGATTACCACGGCATTCAAGTGAGGATGAAGAGGGACGAGGATGAGGAGGGAGGGAACAGGAAGGAGAGGAGGGCCGAGGGGTGAGCGAGGGAGAATGAAAAAGAAATAGGGAGAAGGAGGAACCACGGAACAATTGTAATCCGGGACGAGCTCCATGCAGAGCGAATGGGAAGGAAAACGAAGAGGAAAATTGCGCAGCTGGCATTACGAACGCCCATCCCAAAACGTCACTTCGACGGAACCGCCACTGAGTCCCAGAAGTCTACGTCGCACCGGCGGCCGTAATCAGAATACCAAGTCTCAGTGCAAATAACACCCAGAAGCTAGACACCAAAACGACCCCGATCCCAGCACCCAAGCTGGAGAACACAGGGTGGTCAGATGTATTGGTGTGGAGACCTTTGTGGGCCACGGAAACGGCAGGGCCGTTTTTCCACCGTTTCCAAAAAAATGTCCCTTGAAAATGGAAACGGCAAAAAAAACGACCCGAAACGGCAAAAAAACGGCTCCAGGATTGGAACCGGAGCCGGAACCGGTCAAAAAACGGCGACGGAACCGGTAAAAAAACGGCGTCGGAACCGGCAAAATAACGGCAAAACGGAACCAGTAAAAAAACGGCCCTATCGTTTCCAGGGCCCACTAAGGTGGAGACACCTGCATGGCGTAAGGAGAAGTGGAGCCCTGCCCAAACGGGCCCCTCCTCAACGGACTCGAGAGCAAAACCTCAGACCAGACCAGGGCGAGCTCATCCTTCTGTTTTCCTTCGAGAAAGCGCAATGCACACACACACACACACACGTCCCACACACGTCCCACAAGTCTTAGTCCCGTTGCCAATCTCCTGCCACGTTGGGATAACGTTTCCCCTCCGTTGCACCGCGCGCCCTCCTCCTCCTCCTCCTCCTCCTCCTCCTCCTCCTTTTTAAACTTAGGCGGCGAGGATGAAGCGTTTGTGTGAGAAGACAAAAGGTACAAGGCCGACTTAGGCTAACCGACAGACACGTTAGGCAGACGGCGCCTGCAGAACAGGACGTCCTCCTTCTCTGCCTCCTGCTCCTCCTCCTCCTCCTCCTCCTCATCCTCCTCCTCCTCATTATCATCATCAGCATCCTCATCCTCATCATCATTATCATCAGCAGCAGCAGCATCATCATCAGCATCATCATCAGCAGCATGATAATGATAAGAATTCATAGTCAGAATCATCATCATCAGTATCATCAGCATCAGCATCATCATCATCATCATCATCATCATCAGCGGCAGCAGCATCATCATCAGCAGCATCATCAGCAGCAGCACCAGCATCAGCATCATCATCATCATCAGCATCATCATGCAGTGTTTATTGGGCGTGCTGGGTGGCGCACACGGCACCTGAAGCATCCGTATCATCCTCCTCCTCCTCCTCCTCCTCCTCCTCCTTCTCCATTCCTTTTCCTTACAGATAACTTATCCCTGTCGCACCCCGAGGCCCATTTTTAGGGCGGGCTGGGCGTTTCGCCTGAGACTTCCTCACCAAAAGATTGGCGACAGCTTCACGGATTGAGGGCGGGTGGTTTTCAAAATGTGGCTCTCGCCTTAGCGCGGCGCGCATTCGTTTTACAAATTTGCAAAAGTTTCAGAATGTGGCTCTCGCCTTGGCGCGGTGCACATTCGTTATGATAATGTGCAAGGTCTTCACGGATTGAGGGCGGGTGGTTTTCAAAATGTGGCTCTCGCCATAGCGCGGCGCACATTCGTTTAAACAAATTGCAAGAGTTTCACGGTTTGAGGGCGGGTGGTTTTCAATATGTGGCTCTCGCCTTAGCGCCGCGCCCATTCGTTTTGAACATTTGAAAGAATTTCGCGGGTTGAGGGCGGGTCGTTTTCAAAATGTGGCTCTCGCCTTAGCGTGGCGCACATTATTTCAAAAGTTGTACGAGCTTCACGGAATGAAGGCGGTTCCTTTTCAAAATGTGGCTCTCGCCATAGCGCGGCGCACATTCGCTTAAAAATTGCCAGTGTTTCACGGATTCTCATCATCAACGTACCAGAAATAGCATGTTGGAAGGATTCAGGATTCTGGCACGATTCAGGATCGTCAAGACGCAACAGTCAGGTTGATCCGTGGCGTTGGAATTCCGAGAACAATATGTTGGCATCCTTCAGGGTCTTCAAACTGGTGTCTTCCAACGAGGCAGTTCCATCAATGCAAATGAACCGTTGTAGGGGCCTATGAAGAGGGAGCTTGGAGGGAGGGTTTACTCCAACATCGTCGATGACGATTTACACTGGTCCTCCTCCTCCTTCTCCTCCTCCTCCTCCTCCCTCCGACCCCGCCTACTCGGACAATATCTGAGAGGCCTGGAATGGCTGGGCCCTTCGCAAGGGCCAGTTGGGTTTGGCTGGGGCTTCCTGGCCCCAGACAGAGACAGCCTGCCTGCTCAGCAGTGCGTCCGTTCTCCTCGGCCACTCCCCGGGGTGTGGCTTGCAAAAAAAAATGGTTTGCAACCCGCACCCTGGGGGGTGGCGAGGACCTCGACAGAGTTCTCCGCCGCACCCCGAGGACGCCCCACGAGGGCAACGTGGTTCCCCCAAGCCCCAGCCGACGCAGATCGCAAACCGCACCCCAGCGTAACCGCACCCGCTGCACCCGCCAAGCTCTCTGGTCAAGATGGCGACGCCCCGACCCCCGTCCTCGCAGCAGTTGTCGGTCTGCCAGCAGTCCTTGTTGCACTCCTGGCACCCCTTCGGCGGGATCTCCTGCGGCGCCCTCCTCCTCCTGCTCCTCCAACTCCGCCTCATCCTCCTCCTCCTCCAACTCCGCCTCATCCTCCTTGACATCCTGCCTTTCCTCCAGGTAGCCCCTCTGTCAACTGCAGCGCGGGGAGTGCACATGCGAGAGGGATGATGCAATGAGACGACACCAGCAGTAGGAGAATGGCTCGGCAACCTCCTGACCGACCCGGCTCGCGCTCCTTTCATAAAATGTCCCAAATAACGACTGCCGATCACGAATAGCCCACGAAGAGTCCGTCCCGCTGAAACACCTCCTTCTCCGAACTCCCGCTTCACGCTCCCTCTGGCGCCCTTCTCCCTATGCTTCCTCCTCCGCCGCCGCATCCTCCTCCCCTCCTCCTCCTCCTCCTCCTCCTCCTCCTCCTCCTCCGCCTCCTCCTCCTCCTCCTCCTCCTCCTCCTCCTCCTCCTCCTCATGGTCCTCCTCCTCTGCCTCGTCCTCCCGGTTCCTCCTCCTCCTCCTGCTCACTCCTCCACGTCCTCATCCTCACCTCCTTCCGTCTCTGCCCCTCTGCCCCCACACTCGGGCACCCTCCGGATTCAGAGCTGACCACAACTGACAGCTCGCGGCGCACTGCCTGCACACAGACTGCAGCGGTGAGGGCGCAGGGAACGTCTGGG